TATCTATATCTATATATCTATATCTATATCTATATCTATATCTATATCTATATATATATATCTTACCAGATACCAGGTTACCAGACAACCCTCTTAACCCAGTGAGCCACGGTCGCCCCCATTACTGCTATGAGCTGCCATTTCTCACTTAAATATATCATAATATTAGACAATATATCTAAAATAGCTTTGGAAATGAAAGGATGAGCATCACATTCACATGTTACTAATTATTTATAATTGCAGAAAGCCGTCTGTTGATGTTTGTTTGGTTTTTAGACACTTCTGTATAATTGAGACGAATCAGAGTTCTCGGCTTCAGAGTCGTAATTAAAACTGATGTGGACGTAAGAAGTGATGTTTAGCATGTTAGAAAGTAAACATTAGTATTTAGCATGTTGTCATCTGTACTTCCTGTCTACTACCAGCTCTGGTAGTAGTCCGACTCGGTGTAGTCGTGATTAGAAGAAAAGAGCCGACGTCTGAACATCACTGCTGACGGTTGTTTTGTAGTTTTCAGGTCTGAGTTATTGAGACGAGCTGCTGAATGTAGTTTGAGTCTCTTCTTGTTGCACTAAGACGTTTGAGTGATAGAACCCGTCTCATGTTTGAGCTGATTTCTTCAACTTCCTTTGAAGAAAAACTGAATGAAATCTGCATTTTTTTGATGAAAACCATTAATTTAAGTATGTTAAGTATTTGTTTGTAAAATCCAATTAAAACACTTCATCACATCAGAAACATAACGTCTGTGGTATTTCTCTCTTTCACCTCACACATTCATCTGTAAATCATTATTGTTGTGAGACTTTACATGCTGATTTCCTGCGTTTTAAACATTTCTGTGTCATAATTTTATAAAAACAAATTAAAATTTTTGTTAAATGTTTTTAAACAGTTTGTGTGTTTTGGCTGCTGTTCATCCTCTGCACTCAACACAAGCAGAGATTAAAGATTCAGGTTTCAGTAAATATACAAACTTTATTCTGTGTGAAGGTTTTACAGGGGGGGGCAGCAGGTCAGACAGGTGGGTGTCACCGACCATCACAGGTGAGGATGATGAAGGTCTGAGGCGGCTGGTGGTTTCAGGGTCTACAGTGGAACAGCAGAGTCCTGGTCTGGTTCTGCCAGGGGACCACCCAGACCTCAGTGTGACACTGAAATGTCTGGAAGAACAGGAAGTTTCACAATAAAAGCCTTTTAAATACAAATCCTGTAAAGGGTTAGTTTGGATGTTTTGGTGAATCTGAACTCTTTGAAACTCAAAAGTAACCGATGGAGGAGCAGCAGAGCAGAGACTCTGTGCTCTCCTGTGGTTCAGCGAGTGGAGTCTGGTGTGAGTAACGATGACAGCTTCAGTTCTACATTCTGAATATAACTGATATTAATTCTGCTAGTGTCTATAGTACATCCACAGCGGTCACTGCTGGTCTGTTTCTACTGTGGAGAAGAACCTCGTACTAAAGGAAGAATTCTTCTAATATGTACCTGCACATTTCTAAAATCAGAGACTCACCTGATGCAGACGACCGACCGGCTGGAAGTCACAGTTGGACAGGTTGTTGTTGTCTCGTTTACGGCAGACGGTTCTGGAGATCTCCAGATCCACCAGGTACCGAATCCCCTTAACGATCTGAAAAACACACACACACACACACACACACACACACACACACCTCAATGTTGTACTGCAGTACAGTTCATGTTGTAGTACTGAGCAGACAACACTTAAAACTTCAGTTTCCATAACATTTAGAATTTATTACAATCCGGTGACGATTCAAAGTACTTCATGACATCATCGGTACTCTGTGTTTTAAAGGTAAATGAATGTGTTGACCTTTGACCCCCCCCCCCCACAGACCTGCGTCCTACCTGCCGCTGTGCTCTGTGGACGGCCGAGGGTCTGAAGAGGAAGGCGTCATTTGATTGGTTGTTGAAGAAGTGGGCGGCGCTGAGGACGACCTGTCGGAGGCCGCGGTCCTTCCTGCTGATGTTGACCGGAGACCCGGGCATGGAGCGGCCATGATGGCTGCCCACCGCCAGCATCAGCTCTGGAAGGGAAAGATATATATATATATA